ATGAAGAAAACATAATAGATAAAATTGTTGTTACCCAAAAGGAAAAAAATGATCAAATTAGAAAAAATGAAGAAGAAATAAATAATAAAAAAGAAGAAAAAATAATAATTATAAAAAACAAAGAAAGTTCTAATTATATGACTGAATATAAAAAAACAAAACAAAAAGAAGAAAAAGGAAAACAAAGCATAAATGAAACAGAAAAAACGCCTATCAGTAATAAAAAAATTAAAATAACAACCCCAAATACAGAGGAAGTAATGAAGGATATAATTGAAAACATGGATATAAATACACCAATTTCTTCAATGAATTGTATTCTACAAGATTCAGATATAGATATGTCAGAAGAAGAAAGATCACTAGAATATGGAAAAGAATATGGTGAAACACCTAATCCTGAAATAAATAAAGAAATAACAAAATTAAAAACTATATAATTTAAATTTTTTCTTAAATTCCTTTTTAAGAACACATATTGATGAATAATTATAAAATCAGAAATATTGCCACAATAAATATAAATGGTATTAGAAGTTTAACGACTAAAATATTACTGAAAAAATTTATAACAGATAATGACTTAGATATAATATTGTTACAAGAAATAAATGAAAACGATTTAAGATTTTTTAAACCATATGAAGGTATAGTAAACATTAATGAAAATCAAAGAGGTACTGCCATATTAACAAGACCAGGAATTGAAATAAAAAATGTAATCCTTCATGAAAATTCTAGAATAATAGGTGCTAACATAGATGATTTAAATTTATTAAATATATATGCCCATGCCGGTAATGGTCAGCGTCCACAAAGGGAGAAATTATTTGAAGAAGATATAGCCAGTATAATAGGAACAAACAAATCTAATATCATGATCGCAGGCGATTTTAATTGTGTATTAAATGCCAAGGACCAAAAAGGAAGAACAAATTATAGTGCAGCACTAAAAAGATTGTTAAACCAATTAAAATTAAAAGATGCGTGGGAGTATTTAAATAAGAAAGATAATGGGTTTACATTTATTAGGGGTGATTCAGCTTCAAGATTAGATAGATTTTATACTGACACATTAATAAAAAATAGAATAGTTGATTGCAAAGTAATTCCAGTAGCCTTTTCAGACCATAATGCGGTAGTTCTAAAATTGAAAGTTGTGACATCAGTGCCATTTTTTGGAAAAAGTTACTGGAAAATGAACACAAAAATACTTAAATCCGAAGAATTTGATAATTTATTTAGACAAGAATGGGAGAAAATTGTTAAAATTTCATCACGTACGAATGTAATTGATTGGTGGCAAAATAAAGTAAAAACCAAATTAAAATACTTTGCAAAAAATTTATCCAGACAAAATGCAATAGATTTCAATAATACAATAAATTTTTTTGAAAAGGTATTGAAGGAGGCAGTTGAAAATCACAATAATAATGGTGAAATGTGGGAAATAATTAAAGAAACAAAAGCCACAATTAGAAAATTATATGATACTCGTAACGAAGGAATTAAAATAAGATCAAGGACCCAAACAATTACAGAAGAAGAGCGCATTACTACATATCAAATTGCAAAGGAAAAAATCAATGGAGAAAACAAATTCATTAAATCGTTATTTAATAACGAAAATATTTGTTTAAAAAATTCAAAAGAAATAATTGTAGAAATGGAAAGATCATACAAAAATTTCTACAAAGAAAAACCGATAAATTATAAGGAAATGGATCTCATACTAAGGAAATATAATAAAAACATAAGCATTCTTTCTAATGAACAACTAAGAAAAGAAATTTCGGAGGAAGAAGTGAGGGAAGCGATTAAGACAAGCAGTAAAAATAGGACACCTGGAATAGATGGCATTCCGTATGAATTTTATCAAAAATATGAAGACATTTTAACACCCTTTTTAGTTAAAATATTTAACGAATTTTTAAACGAACCGGAAAAGATAAATAAAAAACTTAATGAAGGAATAATAATATTAATTTCGAAAAAAAAGGATCCAAAATATACGGACGATTATAGACCAATTACGCTTTTAAACTGTGATATGAAATTATTTTCAAAAATTATTTCAAATAGAATAAAAATGGCTGTTCAAAATATTATTAACCAGGGGCAATCATGCTGTATGGATAAAAGAAATATTGTTGATAATTTAATAACTGTTAGAAACTTGGTGGCATACTATAATATAAAACATAATGAAAAAGCATCTTTGATAAACATAGATTTTAAGAAAGCCTTTGACATGATGTCACATGATTATTTGCTGCATGTATTAAGGAAAATATCAATTCCTGACAAAATAACCAAAGTAATAATGAATCTTAATAAAAACGCAACTTCACGATTACAAATAAATGGGAATCTATCTGAATATATAAAAATTGAAAGATCCGTCAGACAGGGATGTCCTTTGTCAATGATACTATTTGTTATTGGTTTAGATCCTTTACTTGAAGAATTGGAAAAAAAATTAGAAGGTCAAAATATAATAACTAAAAATGTTAAGATACTTGCATATGCTGATGATGTTACTTTAATAGTTAAATCAAATAGTGAAGAAAGAAAATCCTTAGAAATCATTAAATCTTATTGTAAAAGTTCAGGAGCAGAAATAAATGAACAAAAATCCACATTTCTATCGCTAGGTATGAGATGGGCAAGGGATTCAGAAAGCAACATACCAGAAACCCCGAAAATTAAATATTTGGGAATGATTATATCAAAAAATTTAGAGGAAATGATTAATGAGAACTGGAATAAATTAATTAATAATATAAGAGTGACATTAAATACAGATTTATCAAGACGACTAAATGTAATTCAAAAAATCTGGCATATAAATCAATTTGCCTTAGCAAAATTATGGTATTTAGCGCAAGTATTACCAATGCATAAAGTATTTTCACAAAAAATTGAAACTATAATAGGTTACTATATCTGGAATGGTTATAGAATAAGAATTAATAGAAATCAATTAAAATTGAAAGAAAACCAAGGAGGTCTAAATTTAATATCAACTGCTGAAAAATGTAAAGCATTACTCTTTAAAAATATGATAAAACAGATCATAACAAAGGAAATCAACACAGGATTTTTAGAACTTTGGATCAATAATAAACATTTTCCGAAATCTATTAAAAAAGAATGGGTAATTATAAATGAAAAATATCAATGGAATCTAGAAAATACTACAACAAAAGAAATATATATAAAACTAACTAATGATTATACTCCAAGAATAATGGAGAAAAACCCGAATTTGAACTGGAATAATATTTGGAAGAATTTAAAAAACAAAAATATTCCTTCTGACTGGAGAACCACGAACTATATGATAGTCAATGAATGCATAGCCATGAAAATGAAGCTGTTTAAAATGAAAATGGCTGATACTGCTAATTGTACAAAATGTAATAAAGAAGAAAATGCAATACATTTCTTAACAGAGTGCGGTGAAAATAAAAAGATATGGAATTGGATGAAGCATAGACTGAAATTATTAAAAATTAATCTAAATGAGAAAGATTATAAATTAATAAAATTCGACATTATGAAAAGACCAGAAGAAGAAAACAATATCATAATATGGCTATTATCTGGTGTTCTAAATAATATATACAATGGAATTGAAGAATTAACATTAATCGAAAGGAATTTAAGAGAGAAGCGGAAAGACTACATAATAAGAAATAAAAATAAGAATAATTCATTTATGTACAAAATTTTGTAAATTATAATGTAGATATTTAAGAAATAAATTATAATTATATATAATAAAAAAAAAAAAAAAAAAACGCAATCATGCATTTCGACGATATTCAAAATGCTATGTGTTTTATAAATGTTTTCATAAATATTATGATAAATGCTAATTTTTCAACATATAAAGGGCCACGATATTAAAATAACATTTGTCGATCTGATTTTTGTTTACATTTATAATAACAAGCTGCCACACTTAGAACATTCAGTAATTGTTTTAACTTTATTATATGGATATTTGAACCCAGTAGTTGTTCAATCCAATTATGACCAATTAACTATACTCCAAGTATTTACTGACATTTTTATTATATGTATGCAACTTTACCGATGATCTATAACCTCAAGTATGCAACTATACCGATGAGCTATATTTAAGATCTATAACCTCAAGTGGAAGTTTGACATCAAAGTTGCCTGATGTCAGGCTTGGCGGTAGCGGGAATCGAACCAGCTAACCTGGGACTAGCTGGTGCTAGCCCACGTTCGAACCGATATCGCCACCGCTCACCCTATCCGATTACTTAACATGTAAATGTTTCAAATAATATTTCTACAGTAATAAATAATTTTAATTGCCTTTTCATAACATAGTTATATTGCATATATTTAGTTTAAATTTATTTTTATCAAGTTTTCTTTGCTAATTTTAAAATATTTACTAAATTTATTAAATCAATTTGAATTTAGTAATAAAATATTCAAAATTAAAGTTAATGCAAAAATAATTTTCATTATCGAAAAGTAAGTCAACTGCAGTTTAACGAGGCAATTTATCACTGTACAATTAATTTTAACACTGGATTAAGATTAAATACAGCAATGGATATTTGTTAAGTGGAAAATCGTGCAACTGGATCTTAGTTAGCATAATTGCAACCAGTTTAATGCTAATAACGTGTACGGATCCTTCATAATTGATGTACGGTAACTAATCGTAAGAGTTCAATGTTTTAACGTCCGCGTGGGTGTTTGACATTTCACAATGTCAACGTAAAGGCCGACAGAATTAAATTTCACATCTTTTACATATTCGATCATTTCAACACACGTAATATATAATAAATATATGTTACGAATCAATAAGTTTTTGAATAAAAATTTTGTTTGTTTAATTAATAACTTGGATTTTCTCGGTACAAACTGTCATGCGTAAACGCATGGACGCAAGCAACCAAAATATAGGTACAACAATTTCTTAATTAGTTAGGAAATCAATTATCACTCACCAGCTGATTCTGGACCTGGACAGAAGAGGATTCAAACGATGGCACTAAACTCAAATTTGTCACCCGAAAGCACAAAAGGCGACAGAAACGCTATCACTAATGTTATCACTGTACAATTAATTTTAACATTCGATTAAGATTAAATACAGCAATGGGTATTTGGTGCACACCGATGCGCTGTGACCAACGTGCGCTCACCACGAGGTTAAAAACAATACTGACGGATCGGAGTTTCATAGGTGAGCAAGTAAGCTTACCTGTGGCGTGGGCCTGTGGGCCGAACTGTGCTCTGTCAGCCGCTTGCGGTACTGCTCTACCGCTTCTTGAATCCAGAGATGTAATTAGATTTCGAGCCAAGTAGTCAAATTGGGCATGCGGTAATTGATATCATAATACTTAAATATATTTTTTATTCACATCGAATTATTATTTTATTTATTCACTTGTTAACTTCCCTTGAAGGAAATTATTATAATCGTCCAAAAATCAAAAATGAAAATTTTTGCATATCTTTACGTTTTAGAGGTTTCTGAACATTTTGGCATACCTTACATTTTTTTATATTACAATATTTATTACAACTGTTAAATAATTTAACATCTAGTAATGATATTAAACAATAACATAAATTTAAATAAAAAAGAGTACAAAATAAAAGATAGTATTTACATTAAATTGATATCCGTAGTATGATGATTTAATATAAAATAAAAATAAATAATAATAATAATAAAATTAATAAATAAAATTTCTGAATAATAAAAATATAACTAGAAAAACAATAAAGTGGAATAAAAACAATAAGTGACAGATAATAATAAATATAACGAAAAGTGGATGTATCTATGTGTGGGCATATGAGTGTATGTGTGTGCGTATGTATGGATACAATTAATTGATCAACTGATTTGTAATATTCAATAAGCAATTTTTTTTTATTATTTTTTTATTTTCATTGGGCGTCCGCGCATGAATCGTATGATAAGCAAATTAATAATTTTAATTTTGGTATTCATTTTATATAATTCTTAGAAATATGAGATAGTTCCTTCATTCTAACTTTGCTTGATCCAGTTTTGTTTATTTACTTTTCATGTAAACATATATAAACTTTGTCGTACAATTTTTAAGCTCTCATATTTCGTCTATAAAATACGAATAATGAAAGTATTTATAATAATCTATGTAAAATTATTTAATATTTCTCGAATATTTATTTCATTACGGTACGGAAAGTTTCAGCAATTTGCCTTAAGGCACGATACCATGCACCACTAGTTATATATTTTATTTATTTATTCAATCATGTTAAACTTAATTTAACCAGTTATCTGTCAGGCGCTCATTGTTATTGTTTTGTATTGTCAAAATCGAGCCATGACGAGTATAGACGTCACAAAATATCACATGGGGTAGAAAGGGGTATAGTAAGATATCACGTCCTTATCCTTTAAAATATATCCTTTAAAACTCGCTCACGTGATTAATGAACGTCCCCTTAGATCTGCCTTAAATCGAGCCATGACGAGTATAGACGTCAGTCATAGGGTAAGTTGCGCTAGAAGGATATCAGATGAAGAAGATAGGTTTATTTTACATAATTATTCTAAATATTACTTTTTGGTTAACATATATTACATACGTATTAAGCCAAATACTGAATAAATTCAATGTAATATTATTTATATGAAAGTAAGAATTTAAATTCTTGCTGTAAATTAATACAAACATTACAAAATATTATAGGCTTATAGGTACTTATAAGTTAATTGCAGAAAAGTAATTTGATCACAAAATATAATCAGTTTTGAAATTAATACTCTTACAAGTACCAATTTGTTAGTATTGCGCCGTATAGATATATTCTGTATTTTGTACTTTGTTTTGTATTGATCGCCGTTAACGTGCACTCTTAAATAAAATATAATACATTTTAGAACCGGAATTGGAATAAAATATGTTAAATTAATAAATATGTACAATTAAATAAATACATTTTTCATATATTATTAGTTCGTAAAAGTATGTAAATTGGGAATAACATTGATTAGTTTTTGGCGAAAAGCAAAATATTTCTTATGGAAATAAGAAATTGTTATCTGAATAGCTGCATCTCAATTCTTATTGATTAAGTATATTATCTCCACATTTCGTTAAGTTCGTAAGGTAAAATGCCACTTATTTTATAGCCTCAAAATATTTTCAAAAAAAGCCTTACATCTTAAAATTTGAGAATATATTTTGTTTTTCTCGAAAATGGCAATTTAAACAACTGATGATAATTGATTTATACGCATGACGTATATATTCGTGAATACACAAAACTTCTTGACGAATATACTAGTCAACCATGCTGTCTTTGAAACAACATCAATAATATTACAATATTAATTACAACTTTTTTTATCAATCCCGCTAACATAAAATGAATTAAACTATTTTAAAATTAATTAAATTGAAATAATTAAACCTATTAAACTTTGAAAATAATAATACCCACATGCATTTTATTGATACAAAATGATTGTTCTAAATTTAATATCAATGTTATATAACTATATATATAATATTTGCTATATAATATATTTACTTTTCATTTAAAGGCATTTCATTGGTAGCAATGTCGATGCTACCTTGCAAATATTATATATAGTATATATAATATTTGCAAGATAGATAGCATCGAGATTGCTACCAATGAAATGCCATTAAATGAAAAGTATTAAATCATCAGTATTAAAGTTATTCTAATAACAAATTCTTCAAAAACTGATAGGTCAACTATTGGTTTGCATTTTAAAAAAGCTAATAGGATTATAGGAATATTTTGTTCTGATTGCTGTTAATGCTAATAATAATAATAATAATATCTTCTTCATGATCAGACGCTGAGAGAACATTGAAACAAAATGCATATATGTTTCCTTAACATAGATAATATACATATATTTCCTTTTCTATTTTTTCATTGTCATTGTTTAAATATCATATTTGTTATCACTTGTCGTACGATTATTATCAAATAAACAAGCCAGCCTATCCTAAAGGCAAATTGTTAAAACTTACCGTTTTATATATTATTAAAAAAAATTATTCAATATTCAAAATTATCGTTATTATTAACTTTCCGTGGATAAGTTATTGTAACCGTCAAAAAATCGAAATTGAAAATTTTTATGGCATGCCTTTGACATTTTGGAAAAATGGATGTGTATGTGCGTATATGTGTGGATACAATTTTTTGTCGAAATTTTCGGGAGCACCGTCAACCGATTTGAATTATTTAAAAAGCATTCGATTCCTACTCGTGGGAAATAGTGTTGATTAGTTTTTGGGAAATAACGGCCCAACCGTATCCGAGATACGTGATGTATTTGAGAGAACAGTGTATCCGATTTGAATTATTCAAAAATCATCCAGTTCGTAATGATGAGAAGACGTGGTGATTAGTTTTTGGCAAAGAGAGGCCCAGCTGTTTCAGAGATAATGAGGTTAAAGTGAGAAAAATGCAGTTTTTGAGATAACAAAGCATTCGATTCGAATGATTCAAAAAACATTTAGCTTGTGAAGATACAATAAGTTTCTAGGGAAAACGAAAAAAAATATTTCAAAATGCCCAAATTTTTTTTTTTTTAATTTTAATTTTTAAAATTTTTTTGAATATCGAAAATAATTCAGTTCTAATTTTAATCTTAGCTAAAATTCTAAAGTTCACATATACATATACTTCAAATCGATAATTTAACTTTTCAATTCAGTTTATATAATTCTTTGAAATATGAGATAAATTCTTTCTAACTCCGCTTGATCAAGTTTCGGTTATTACTTTTTATGTAAGCATATATAAAAGACATCGTCTAATTTACAAGCTCTTATATTTTATCTATAAAATACGAATAATAAAAGTTACCAATAATCTATTTCAAAGCATTTAATATTTCTCGCTTATTTCATTACGGGATATTCCTTAAAGCACGATGCCATGTACCACTAGTTAATACTTGTTCTATTTTTATTTTCATAATTTATTTACTACGTTTTCTCATTATTACAAATTGAATGTTTTTTGAATCATTCAAATAGGATGCTCTGTTCTCACAAACACTCAATTCCCATTTTCTGCACTCTTTGCTTCACGTCTTTGAAACGCTGGATCGACATTTGCGAAAAACTAATCAACTCTCCCTATCAATAGGAATCTATTGCTTTTTGAACATTTTAAATCGGCTGATCCGTGTTCCCGAATACGTGGACGAAAAATTGTATTATTTTCGACATTTGGACGATTACAATACCTTACCCTACGAGAACAATACCTAAATACCTAATGCCTGTTGGATTATTTCTAAAAAGCGATGTTATAGAGTAGAAGCAGCACTACAAAAAAATTATCTAAATGATGCACATATCGATCGAAACTGTTTCCAAAAAAAACTGACGGTATGATGAGTATCGAAAGCTAATTCGTATATCGATGTATACAAATGTTGTCGTGCCGAGGTCGTGAATGCGCTGACATAGAAAAATATTTTTTCTACCATTAATTACAAGAAAACGGTCCGGCCAATCTTTTTCAAAAACTAATCAGCACGATATCTAACCAATATCTTTCGAACGGTTTTTGAATTTCCAATATCGATTCAGTTTTTGCTAATTACATAGAAACGACTCGGCCGATCGTCGCACAAAATTAATTTAAGTAAAACAATTTTACAAGAAATAATTTGAATAAATAGTTATTACATCTCTGCTGATAAATATTTCTGACAAAATACCAGATCAAGGTTATTTACAGTATTATCTCTCTAAAAAATTAATATTTTGTGCCCCACCCTATAAATATAATACAACTCTAAATAAAAGTTAATGCCCAATCATTTATAATTTAGTTTTTTATTATTTTAATTATATATTACAGAAAATTAATATCTGCTTAAGTATTTGAACATTGCATTTTAATTATATAACAGTGTTTTACTAAAAATATTGTTTACACAAAACACAAAGAAGTAATTTCTAAAAATATAATTTACACGCCGATTTATATATATATATATATATATATATATATATACATATATAACATGAATGAATAAATGTACCATACATTGACAAGTTTGTTGAGAGATTCGACTTATTAGCGAAATAATAAAGGCAATAGATTTATAGTCTACAAATTGTGTTTAAACACCCAGGTGCAAAGGGCGTTAGATCGTTTCGCAGTTTACTTACTTAGGGGGCGTACATTAATCACGTGAGGTTTTTAGGGGGAGGGGGGGGGCTGTTTGACAAAAAATCACGAAATATGACATGGGGTGAAAGTGGTATAGTAAGATATCACGTCCAAAAATCCTTTAAAACTCGCTCACGTGATTAATGGACGTCCCCTTAGATCTGGACTATTTACAAGCTCTTTACACCGTGGTACAATATACTCGTACCAAATTGTCCTTAATTTTCAGACAATATAATTCCAAAAATATATCGTAAAGTGGTCCAAAACAATAATATTTTTTTCGAAACTATAATTTTTTTACGTTATACAGCACATTTTATTGAACGAGAATTCAATCCCAATCAAATAATATTGAACATTGCTTTTTTATAAAGCTGGGATATTCTACGAGAAAAAAAAAAAAAACTATTTCCTAGAAGTTAGACAAAATTGATTTTCTGTACCATAACATTTTCCTTCTAAAATAATTCATCAAAGAATTATGTAGACATTCACCCGAATATAATAAAAGTGCCGAATAGGCCGAATACCGAATAGTAACCAAATATTTGTTGCAAGTATATATATATATATATATATATATATATATGTATATATATATATATGTATATATATATATATGTATAATAATTCAGATTACAAACCGACCAAAATAATTTCTGCCATTTATTCACAATCGCATGGCCCTCTGATGGCCAATCAATAAATTAAGCTAAATAGGGTTTAAAAAGTAATACATATTTTAAAGGAATATGTATAACTGCAATAGAAATTTTCTATAGATTAATATATATTTCAATAAAAAGATTATTAAAAATGTCAAATTCAAATTATAAGTAATTTTCAAATTATAATATGGAATAAACTTTCATAGTAATATGAAATTACGTTAACACATGTTTTGAAATTGTCGTACATTCTAGCAGATCTATAATAGTTGAATAAGGTACTATTTATTGTTAGATCAATTGTATTTACAATTACTGTTATCATTTGGTACATTTCGAGATCCACAAGACCCCATAAACTTTTTTTACAAAAATAAACATATCTGTAACAATTTTCTACTTTGAAGTATTTACTAAGTTTAATAGTAGTTGATATACTCTAATTGTAATTATTTGATAAACATTTTTAATATTATTGTAGATTTTACAGAGATGCCACATTATTTAACCAACATTTAGTAACAGTATTTACATAATATATATATATATATATATATATATATAATATTTATGTATATATGTATATATATAATATATATGTATAATATATAATATATATAATATAAAGGAATGATAAAAAATACAAATATAAAGATTAGGTTTCGTTGGCTAAGGGTGTCCGATTATTGTGTCGGTCTATCGTATTAGCAAGATTTCATTATATATATATATATATATATATATATATATATATATATATAATATAGAAAAATGATATATAAAATATTAGTATGAAATGTAGAACAATGTTTAATTTGTTGACCGAAAACCGTATGTGAATGAATATTGAAAGAGCGAAAATAGAAGAAGACGTGCAAGAAAATATCATTTTGCAAAAAATAATGGTCTGTGGTCAACAATTAATATGCATTGAATAATTTTGAACATTTTTGATAAATATTTACTTATTAATTAAGGTTTTATGTATCATTTCACCGCAGTAATAATAAAATACATATATTTATTAAAAGTATGAGTTTCGTTGGAATATCAGAATAGGATTGTAAAGCGCGCCCTATTATCAGATTGAACTGAGTAGTAAATATCGTTCACACGAGCAACAAAATATTATTTTAGGGATAAATATTATTCACGATTGTTTTAATTAAAACCCTAAGAAAGCTAATTATCGGTAACATAATAAAGCATGCCGATTAGGCTTTTAAAAGAACGATCATGAAATAAATCTGAAAGACATTTTACCGGTGTGACTGTAGCGTATCGTTAAAATTTACGTCTATCTGATGAATAACGTATAATATTTTATACAATGCAATTTAAACATATTGTGTTCGAATAAGATATTGAAACAGAAGCCAATTTGAAAAGTTTTTATTTAAAATTACTAATAATATTTTTTTAAATATATTGAACGTAATGCATATTTCTTTTAAAGAAAAGTAATTTTAAAAAAACTTTAATAATTTACTAAAGTTCTTATAAAATTATAAGATAAAATATGTTATAAATTTATATTATATTATTATATCTTATTCATATCAATTTGTTTTCTACTTTATTTATAGCAATATTAATAATTTGATATTATATTTAGCATCGGCACTTTAAAGATTAGATAGATTTCAAAAATTTTACATACGACGTCGAATTGATACACTTAAAATAATATAATTAGTGAATTTGCGGTTTCAGCGAATGAATTTAAAGTTGTTGTGAAAGTAGGAAATTTACAACAATTAAAAATTAGAACAAAATATAACATTTTAAACTCTGACTTCTTAGTGGCATAATGGTATAATATAAATTTACTATTTATTTTTAAAATCACTGAAATCACTCTACGAGTTTTAATAAAAATATTAGTTATCTGTTTGAAATGAAGAAACGTAGCAAATTGATTATTGATTTAGAAACACCAGAGATCACAACACTTAAGTAATTTTAATTATTAATTAGCAATCACAATAATTAAAAAGCAGTGATTGTAAGATTCAGTTCATTACATCTGTTAATAACTTTTTTGATAAAAAATCGCAAATTTTACGCCTGTTAGTATACATTGGCATTGGCACTGTATGTATTATATAGCTAGTACAAACACCTTGTAATCATTTGATAGCGATTGATCAAGCATAATACAATTTATTGAGTCTGGTAGCATTGATAAATATTTAGAATGAATTTTATTACTACTATATAAGTATTTTGAAGTTCTTTTTATCAGAGTAACATGCAACAAGTCAGTCACAAAAATATGATATATTATAACATTAACTTGTAATTTTTTTTATACCATTATATATTTGGAGCTTTAAAATGGTTTTCAATATAATTTAAAGCTATTTTCGAAAAGCTCACTCACAAAAATATCTACAATGCATGATTTGTTTTATATAATTACATTGCAGAAAATATGACACACGTACACGCATATTTATATATTTTTTATATATACATAATTTAGTATAACTTGAATTTATTACCAATATCTATTTTGCATTGTTTACATAATTCAACAGTATTGATTTTCCCTTTAGAAACAACACATAGGTGCCAATGTATCCATAAAATTTATTTGAACTCTCAGCGATTTTAAAAAAATTGAAGCAAAGTTCATATGTTTTTTTAATTACGCTTTGCAACTGAACTTCGTATAAATTTTATTTGTTAACAAGTGTGTCAACAAAAAAAAAAATACTAAAAAAAAAAACTTGTGCATATTAACTATAAGCTTATTCCAATTAATATTGTAAGTATGCTCACATAATACTCAATTGATATATTTAGGAATTTTGAGAATTAAATCGTTCAGCTTACAATTAATACTTGAAACAAAAATTATATAAACTTTTATGTACTAACTGGAATCGTCAACAAAACCATACACTACTGTAAGAGTGCTTTTTATTTCATATTAACAAAGTTTTGTACTCTAACAGGATGGAATATAAAAATAGATATTTAATTTCATAGAACCTGTAGAGTGATTAGTATTATAATGTTGTAGTATTAATTTATATATTACGCAAATTACAAAAGTTTTAATTTTGAACAAGATTAAATTATACATTACAACTTAAAATTATATATCAAAGTTTAGAAAATATATTCAACTCTACAAATTGTCACTGGTACACGTAACGGCTTTCCTATAATTTATGATGATACATTTGAAATATTTTGATAGCGCAAGAAGGTGGCCTTAGCCAAAATATCATTACTTGTTCAAATCTGTCCATTACCTTCTTATTGCATCAAAACATCACTCGGTTTGTTACGCATATTGTAATTTAAGATATAATTAACAAATATATAAAACAAAAATACATGCGCTATTAAACATGACCAAATAACAATTAACATAAACACTTTGATTTGTACAAATATATTACTCTTCCTATTAGATATACTATACTTTCTGTTCCGTCTCATTTATTTTAAACCTATGAGATGATATATATATTTTGTGTAAGCATAAGCATAATACAATCTGTATCACAATAACAATCTACATACTAAGAGGTTCAGCACTCTCAAAAATACTTTTGACACGGGGATCTTGTGCCTCACACAAAAGCATTTAATTATAAGAGACACACACATTTATGTGAACTAGATTTGTAGAAGTGCAATTATGCAAATATTCATACGAATATACAATCATAAAACACACTCATAAATATTCAGTAAGTTTTCATACATAGAAAACATGATTTAATACTCAAATCAGACGCAAACACTTAAAGCAGGCATTTATAAAATTGGATTTAATTTTAAATATATCACAAATAAATTTAATTTTGAATAAAGTGCAAACTCACATGTATTTCAATGAAATATGAGCATAAATAGTTATGTATTTGCTGTAAGTGACATGGTATATTCCCAATTAGGTAAATGTATCAAGTTGAGTTTTTTATGCGTTTAGAGAAAGAATGGTAATGAAGTAAGTGTCAGTTTATTTTTTATTACCGTCAGTTTTTTATGAATTTTGTAAGACTTGCAAATCAAATCTCAAATACCCCTTCAAAATGCACATCAGTTTGTGGAACATAAAATAAATTATTTAATAAATAATTAAATGACGTAATTAATAATATTTAAACAATATAATAACATTCATAATAGGGATGACAGATCAAACAAAATAATATAGATATTAAAATGTCTGCAAGGAAAACAATTTGTTTTTTGGTATAATCTAAAAAATCTTTGGAATTATCTTACATTATTTTTTAAAAAAAAGGTACAATTGTTGCATATATAGTACACAATAAAAATAAATAAAACCTAACTCTTTTCTAGCAAAAATACAACGCTAGAAAAACCATGAAATAAAAACCTACAAGAATATATATATATATCTATAAAATTTAAATTTTGGCGACGTTTTCACCATCACATATATCAACTTCACCCTAGCAGTCGTTCTCATGCATACAGATCACATAATTATTTCACTATACAAATAAATATTACGCATTATCTACTGATACGGATGCTGCACAGGCCTCGTCATGCGTCAAGCTAGCAATAGACGCAAGACTAGTGGTCGAAGTGCGACTTGGAGACATGTCCGACTGCACTTCGCTCGAGGATTGATTGCAACAGTTTGAATCTAATTCTAAATTTCTCGTTCTTATAGGTCGTCTATTTAATGCCGAAGAAGGAATATTCATTTCGATAGAATTTATCACAGAATCGGACTCAACATTTTCATTACCCTCGAGTACCTGCGAGAAATCCTCGATATCGGATGTAGATTTTGCAGGTCGCCGCTGACTTTGGTTGTGTCCACTGTGGCTATGCTGCTTTTCAACATTACGTTTCTTGTTGTGGTTTGACCTGGAAACATTATTATTGATCACGGCTTGAGTAAATAAATAAATCAAGTATAGCGCAACCAAAGTAAATATTATAAGTTTAGTTAATGGTAGAAAAAACAAGCTCCTGACTGAACTCGTGATTCCCTATAAATTATAAAGAATTTTTGATTCAACATAATGATAAACATAAAACCCAATATTTTGATATGTATAAATTTTCTGCTGTCTTAAATGTTAAATAAATAAACCTGTGAGTTGAAGCCAAGCCAAGCGGTACCATAGCCGTTGCAGATGTTGTCGGGCAGACGAAATTTGAATGCCTTGATCCTCCCGACCCAGGACGAGGTCTAGGGCGCGGTCTAGATATTGAAGATGCAGAGCTCGTAGATGTCGGAGTCGACTGCAATGAACTTCGCCGGCTACTACTTCCAGCGCCGCCGCAGGTAGCGCTTCCACCGCCAATGCTGGTGTGCCGCGCGGAACGTGAATGCCGCGTCGCACGAATTGGACGTACTTCAGTCGATTGCGCGATTGTAAATAATCTTAAAACAAATATTTCAAATGTTCACAGAACTTATATTAAATACAACCAACATCCGCACTCAATCCTTTATGAATAATACTTTAAAACTTAATGAAGAAATTCTAAGAATGAAAAAATGAGATGGAAACGATAAAAATAAATTTCTGAAACATATCAATAATACATACCTGTTAGATCTTGGTGTACTATCGACATGGCTGGTAACGACGGTAGGCAAACCAACGGCCACAGAATAAGCCGGGGGAGGTTCGCGATGCCAAAACTCTTCCTCCAAAGGCGCTGGCAAATGGGACGCGCCCCCAACCATGGACATCGGATGGTGCAAAGTACTTGTATTTGCAAATTGTGAGATAGCATCTTGATGTAACCTATGCAGTTGGAATACAACATAAACAATGTCATCTTTAGATTATAATTAAATAATTTAAATATGTATATAATAACATACCTATATTGCGATATAGTAGCCATACGCAAAGAATATAACCTACATGTACAACCAACGGCCAGAACAAGGAGTAAACCACAAACCAACGATCCCATGATAGCTGCAGCAATCACAGAATTCTGAAGTGATGACTGTGAATAATAAAATGAATTTTCTTAAATATTTCGGTTAAATTATTTGTAATAAATGTATCTAAGTTACCCAAATTTTCAAATTAAAGTCTTGAATAAAATAAATTAAAAAATATTTGATAGATTAATACTGAATAAATTTAACAATATAATACAAATTTAGTTACATTTTTTGAACACATTAGTTTATTTGATTATATTTAGTAACTATTAAAATTCACTATCATCTTGGCATCATTTAGATCTTTTTGATTGTTTGTATTGCAATATAATACTATACCCCTCCACAGCTAGTCTCGTCGCTGCCATCGGGACAATCTGCTGTTCCATCGCACCACCGTTCTGCTTCGAGACAAGGACCACCGTTTCCACAACGGGGACCTCTCGGACAAGGTGGTAATATGTGCGGTTCCAAGCAACCGACTTCGTCACTGCCGTCCGTACAATCCGCACTACCGTCACAACGTTGCAAAACGCTATAACAGCCACCATGGTCACAGGATAAGTGTTTGCCGCACTCAGTAGCTGCGGCAGAATAACATCAATACTATATTATCTAACATTTCTTCCGATTATTGATAATAAAAGAATTTCAAAATAGAGTTGCAATAAAACATCATAAAAACTATTAAACAAAAGTTTCGGTAAGAATGTTAATATTTGCTTGTATATTCGATGTATTTAATATTTTAAATTTAAAGGTACGATATAAAGGTAAAAAGTAAGTACTTTCAATTTGATAGTAATTGAATAACTGTATACATAGATATTAATTGAAAATATTTTTTAACTTCCCGAAGGAGAAGTTTATGTTTTCATCAAAACATCCATTCTGAATCGAATGAGACCAAATTTGAAAAAAGTATGTACAGTAAACCCTCGCTTTACGCGGCAAGTGCGTACCGTGCAGTATAGGAACCGTGCTATAAGAAACTCGTATTTAACATACAATTCAGGCTAATTCGTAGTGCGTTCTATGGAACCTTACATAGTGCAGTATGGGAACCGTGCTATGAGAGACTCAGAGTTGGTACAAATCGCACCATTTTTATCGCGTTGTATGGAGACCAAGAAATACAACTTGAAGTAGGAGAAATACGGACGAAATGACGTAAATGACGTGACGAAATTGAGACCTTATTCAAAAATTGGCGCGACGCAGTAATCAGCTCAAACGTGTTCTTAGGCGGCTATTATACAATCAGGCATGTCTAAAAGATAAAAGTCGATAACAAAATTTACAACAATACCCTTTTGCACAACGAACTTATGGGCTGTTGACCAAATACCGTGTAATAAGAAGTCCGTGTAGTCGGAGGGATGTCGGATTTTTAGCTCCGTGTAGTATGGGAACCGTGTACCCAGAGTGCCGTGTAAAGCGAGGGCCTACTGTATATGTGTGTATGTGTGCGCGTGTGTGAACAGATTTTTTGCCGTAAATCGACGTTTTCTCAAACGTAACGGCTAGACCGATTTCAAAAATTTAAAAGCCATTCGATGTATCTCGATGAGGACTAGCGTTTGTCAGTTTTGCGCGACGATCGACCGACCCGTTTCTTTGTAAATCGCAGAAAAGTGAAAGATTATTCGTCCACGTTTTAGCCCGCAATTTTAAATCGATTTTGAAAATTCAAAAAACCGTTCGAAAGATATCGGTTGGGAATCGAATCAAATCGATTAGTTTTTGGTAAAGATCGGCCGGGCCGTTTTCTTAAAATAAGGTGTTAAAAAAAATCGACGATTTCCATGATTTTTTTTTTGACGGTAGATACCATAGTTTGGGCTCGATCGTAGGTAATCGGTTAAGAGCGACGGGACTTGTTTCAGAGGTCCCGGGTTCGATACCCACTTCGAGCAGCCTGTTGCCAAGCAACAGTGACAACGATTTTCACTTGGAAATATAGATAGCAATATGTTTCCAAGTGAAAATAGCCCTCAGCCGGCATTGTTGCACCATACTTGCCCTATTACAGAGATTGTAATAAAAATTTATCATACAGAGATGTGACAACTGTTTGGGTTGCCATCTGTAATAAAACAAACGTAGTTTGTAATATATTAATCACAACAGCTCATAGAACCCATAAGTTCTGATCGCTGTTTAAATAAAATTATAAAAAAAAGATACCATAGTCTTTTAGATCATACTAAAATATTACAGCCCAACAACAAGTCGTTTAATTTTAAAAATTCGTCAAAGTTTGCAAAAATTAGTATAGTTTTTTTTTTTTTTTGGCTTTTGTCAAAATTAGACTTTCATCGACGTTTTCTTAAAAACGCCTGAACCGATTTCAAGAATTTAAAAACCAATCGATGTATTTTGATGTGGATTATGAAAAATTTTTCGTTCACGTTTTAGCTCTCAATTTTGAATCGATTTTAAAAACTCAAACTTTTCGAAAGATATTGGTTGAGAATGACACTGATTAGTTTTAGGTAAAATTCTACCTAGCCGTTTTTTTGAAATTAACTGTTGAAAAAAATTGTTTTGTCTATTTTTATAAAACTTTTTTTGGCAATAGATATCATGGTCTTATAAAACATACATAATGTTACGGTTCTACGACAAATAGTATAATGTTAACAATTCATCAAAGTTTGAGAAAATGTTATAGTCAAAATTTATGTCAAAAGTTGTTTTTATGATGAGATGAGTAAAGGCATTATCAATTCATTGAAATTTAAAATAATAAACTACAATTTTACGACATACAAGCATGTGCCAATGCAATATAATTAATAAAATTACAGTTAATTTAAATATGTTTGAGAAAATTCTAATCGAAATCGCAATGTTTAGATTTAATTGAAAGCGATAACTTTATTTTTAAAATGAACAGTTGAAAATTTTATCTAAATTTCAATTTCGGTTGATTAAGTTAATTCTTACACCTTTCGGGAAGTTCAGGCAACTTGCTTTAAAGCTAAATGCCACTTTCAACTAGTTTATTCTTAATTTTCGGAACGGGAAGTTCCAGCAAATTCCCTATAGGCACGATGCCATGCTAGTTATAGTATGCAAAGCGTAATACATTTTCTGCAATCAAACAGATATTTTAATTTTAGAAAAATGAGATATAAAAACTATTAAAATAAAATTTCAGGGATGGGGCGCCATTTTGGTCAGTGCCCCAGGACGCCAAATTTCTAAATCGCGACTAAAATATTCTTTATGCGCGGATCTAAAGTTTCAATAGGTATACAACCGGACTAACAACAAAAGTATATTGGATTAGATTAAACTTAATTTTTTCAAATCGTGTGAGGTAAATTGTTTGCTAAATTGCATTTTTCTGTCAAATTTGACAGTTATTTGATCATCAAAAATTCATGTCTCAAACTGATTTATCGTGGCATATGTTTTTGACGGTTCAGAGAAATAAACTAAATTTAAATTAAATCAAATAATACACTTATTTATTAGATTATTTAATTACATATAATTATCATGAAAAGTATAATTCTTTGCAATGTAGAACTCAAAAATATATTATTTGAAAAATGTTTATAAAAACGAAATTTCTTGAAATGAACGAGTCATAGGGATCAACCAATGACTACCAATTTGCGCAAGTGACTTATTTCATGATATGCGGCAACACTATTTCATCATTCCGTCTTGTCAGAAAAACATGGCCGGTGGATCAAAGGGTTTTATAATGATGTTGTCGTCAAAAAAATTACTTTTATTTGGAATAACTACTTTTAGTAAATTACAGTGCAGAAGTTTATGTTTAAGTTGTGAAAAATTTAATAATCAATCGTTATTGAATGTCAAGATCAATAATTCACAAAAACGTATTATTTCACGAGGTTTTCATCAAACACATGCAAAACGACGTAAAGATTACTATGAAACCCTTGGCGTCTCAAAAAATGCATCAGCTAAAGAAATCAAAAAGGCTTATTACCAATTAGCCAAAAAGTACCACCCAGACACTAACAAAAACGATCCTGATGCAAGTAAAAAGTTCCAAGCGGTTTCGGAAGCTTACGAAATTCTAAGCGATGATACGAAACGAAAGGAATATGACACATGGGGTAGTACCTCTGAACAGATGGGCGGCATGGGGGGAGCAGGCCCTCAAGGCTTCTCACAGAGTTGGAAGTATCAATCGACAATCGACCCTGAAGAACTATTTCACAAAATATTTGGTGATGCAGGATTTAAAACTGGAGGTTTTGATGACTTTGCTGAATCCAGTTTTGGATTTGGTGGTGCAAAAGAAGTATCTATGAAACTAACATTCTCTCAAGCTGCACGAGGAGTTAATAAAGATATTAATGTCAACATAGTAGATACTTGTCAGAAATGCAGAGGTTCCAGGTGTGAGCCTGGCACAAAGCCTGTCAAATGTACACATTGTAACGGAACAGGGATGGAGACTTTATCCACAGGGCCTTTTGTTATCAGAAGTACATGTAGGTATTGCAATGGCACTAGAATGTTTATTAAATATCCATGTGTGGAATGTGAGGGCAAAGGGCAATCTGTGCAACGTAAAAAAATTACAGTTCCAGTTCCTGCAGGAGTAGAAGATGGCCAAACTGTAAGAATGTCTGTTGGTAATAAAGAAATATTTATAACTTTCCAGGTTGAAAAATCTAATTACTTTCGAAGAGATGGTGCTGATGTACATACTGAGGCTGAAATATCAATTGCACAAGCAGTGTTAGGAGGAACCATTAAAATCGAAGGTGTTTATGAAGACCAAATTATCCAAATCAGCCCAGGCACATCATCACATACACGCATAAGGCTACCTGGCAAAGGCTTGAAACGAGTGAACACTTATGGAAATGGTGATCATTATGTGGTGATTAAAATTGGTGTTCCGAAGAAACTTTCTAAGAAACAAAAAGATTTATTAGAATCTTATGCTCAAATTGAAGAAAACACTCCTGGGCAAATATTTGGAGTGTCTTCATTTAAAACCAATACAGAAAAAAATGAAAGTTCAACAGAGGCTAAGGAGACTAAAGAAACAGTTACTGAAAGGGAATCAACATCAGAGGAAAAAACTCCGGAAAGCAAAGCAAATTGCACAAAAGTAGAAGATGAGGAGAAGAAACCTGAGGAAGATCCGAATGGAATTATGTCTAAATTAAAACGTGCTATATTTCACTAACACGTGTAACTACAAAATTATAACTCAAGTGATATGTACAGATATATATTATTGGAGAACTAGTATCTGTTTTTGAAAGTCTTGACATAACCATTAAGCTTTCTTGAGCTATACTTTATCTACCAATAACTAACAAGTAGTTATAAGTAGAGAACTATTTGAATGTATTAAATTTACATTGAATATAATAGAAATTTCCTGTACTCTATTGTTTTGATTTCAAACCATTATAAAATGTGATTTAAAAATGTCATTCTTAACTTAGAAAATAAGAAGCTCTATGCTATTTATGGTAAATAATTTCTTTTTGGATATGCCATAAACAAGTATTCCTTACAAATAAGGTCAAAAATAAAAACCTTAAAAAGAATTTTTTTTTACTACAATTAAAATATGATTCCATAAAAATCTATTTGTTTCTGAATACTGTCATTACACAAAAGTATAAATGTCACATTAAAAAATCTCTCATTAATCAAAGAATTTATGAAATTTTAATTAAGCATTTATGACATGTAAGTGACACTCACAACAAGAAAATTCCGTACTCACCACATCCAATTTCATCTTCTCCAAAAGGGCAATCCCAGTTTCCATCACAGGACTGATACATGCTATAACACCTATGGCCAGTTCTGAAATATATTTTTATTTATAATAGAATTAGTATTAGTAAATTAGTACCCTGATATTAAATACACATACATTTTTAAAAAATCAACTACGATTATATAAAAATAAACGATGACTGACCAAGTTTTTAAATAAAAATATCTGTTGCTTTCATTTATTAAATTTAGTTATGATTTTGGTAGTATGTTCAAATTATAGTTTGGATTTAATGTAATTAATAATATTTATAATAAAAATAATAAATAATATATAAACCTGCAAGGTATTTCAGTGGATTTGCAATGACCGCATCCCATCTCATCTTTTGCATTTTCACAATTCAATACTCCATCGCAACGTTGGGTGTAATTATCAAAACAATGAGGTGAGGGAGAACCACATGGAACCAATGGCGGAGGACAATCTGAAATATGAAAATTTAATTTAGATCAATTACCATACATTTGAAATTGTGAAATCTGTGTCAATTAGAAATATAAAGCATTTTAGTATAATCTTTACATTTTAAAAGTTATATTTGTTATATTTATTTTTTATTTAATATTATTTTTAAGGTTCTACAAAAATATGCATGTATATATTATTAGAAAATGGTCGGTGATTTAAGTTATAATTGATCTATTTTAAATATTACAAGTTAATACTCACAATATCCAGTTAGAGTTACACATTTCACTTCATCTGATCCATCTTTACATTGTTGTTGCCCATCACAATGTTGTTGTTCATCGATACAAAAGAAATCATCACAGCGAAATTGATTATCTGTGCACTTGGACTGGCTAGTACGAAACTCCAGTTTAAAGCCACGATGAAAACCATAATTCTACATGGTAAGAATTGTTGAAACTGTATATCATATATTAACTAAGAAACCGAAAGCAATTTTAGTATATAATTCATTTATCAGATCAATATATAACAATATTGATTGCTTGCAAACAAAGCAAGAAAACAGAGTTAAGTGTAAATAATTTGCAATAAAAATATTTCATTTGTAATTACAAGTTATGAACTTGGGATTCAACAGAAGTTTAGTATAAAACAAAGTGTATCAATGAATAAATTCAGAGTAGTAAATACGCAAATGTTGAAAGTGCAACCATTATTTAGAACCATATTAACTGGATTATAATGTAAAAAATATTCAAACTAAATTCTCAGATTCTAAGAAATTTATAAACCTCTAATTATCACCGAGTAATAAAGCAAGACTATTACCGAAGGAATGTTTACTGAAAATATTTCAACCTGTTTCATACTCAAGCTTTAACTTAGTACCTTACCATAGTTGTGTGAAAATCGATATAGGTTACTCTTTGAGACAACATCATAGATGTAAAAGTGCTGTTATATCCACAGCGTCTACGAAGTCCATTGCGCATATTATCAACAGATATTGAGATACCATTTCTAATACAGCATGGAGGAGAAAAACAAGTTTTTTCATGGTCAGGTTCAATGTCAACATCAACAAGACTGAAAATAGAATGGATATAGAAAAGCAATGTATCAAATCTGACACATCCAAATTCAATAATTACTCACTGTATAGATACGTTTACATTGTTTGATGTAAGGATAATCCATTTGCATGAAGTGTTATTTGGGTATCTATTTGGATAGAACGGGCTTGTAATGACACCTTCAGGTTCTGTATATTCTATAACTGGTCCACAATCAGCTGATCGGGGAATAATTTTAAGACCCCACGAAACTAGGAAATCAAAATGTAATTAAGAATTAAATCTATAGGCATGGTATATTGTAGTTGTACAAACTTACATTGAAGGAAGCAAAACAATAACAAAAACATTATAAAACTAAAAATATTGTTTAATGGCTTATTATTTTAAAAGTACAACAAAATTCTATCTTATCATTTTATATAATTTATTAAACGATAAAAATCTACCAATATTTTCATATATACAAATATGTAATAAAATTACTAAAAAGTGTCAAACATTTGACAGGAGAGGTGAAATAAAATTACGCTGTCAGAAAACGACCCACTTGGCATTATGGCAACACCAATTCAATAATATTTATTCGTGTACGACACCTCTTGTAAATGCAGCGAAATCCGGAAAGAGCGCTACTTCTTACGGTTAAAACAGTTTGAATGCATATGTTTGAATGAATTAATCATATTCTATACAAGTATTCATTAGTTTGTCAAGCACAAAGTAAATCATACGCGTTCATACGCGATTGAAGTAAAACTTATTTGCTACTGTGCAAGATGGCATTTAAGTAAAAATAAATACATCATATAACAATTTTGAATAATGTTTATTAGTAATATGGTAACACACGTGATGCACAAGTTTATTAGTATCAACCATTATACACATTTATATAATAATAAATTATAAATTTTATATTTATAATAGCATTAAAAATATTTATAATCTTTGAAAACAATAATGTAATTAAAGTCATACTTCAAATATAAAATGATCGGTTTGTCATTGTAATTAGCATTTAGGACTTGGACCTTCATTAGAGAAATGAAGTAAATGCTGATTAATAAATTCTATAATATTCGTTCACACAGTGGATTATGTTAAACAACGCCTAAACAAATATTGTTTTCGCAACTTTACTCATCATGTAATTGTGTTTCAAGAACTTCATGTAATTAAAATTAACATACATTCATTGACTGCTTGTATTTTTTTCATGCTCATTCTTTGAGCAGCTGTAATATCTATCTTGCCTAAAAAATATTTTCCATTTTAATAACTTCTAACTTATAAAAATATTTATAGAAAATACGAATAATATAAAAATAATTTGTAATTAATAAACTTACGTTTAGTACACGGCTCAAATGTTTAATTTGTTTTATTATTTTCAAGGGACAGGGTAAAATATTCTTCTGATTCAGGCATTTTTCATTAAATCAAGATTTGTACTACGATGTAACTTTAAATGTTTGTTTATCTATGCTGATTTCCTTATTGATATCGGTACGCATACAACGACAAATCTCTATTCACATACACGACAACTAATCACAATCGACCCGTATTGAAATGATTTGAATGACGTACAGTTCGGGCGTAACGTAATTTCTGTTGCATTTGTACGGATTTACACCCTAGTCGCGCCTAAAAAAGTTTTACTTCAAAAACATAATCATATGAATTACATTTTGCAAAAGGTTTTCTTAATATATATTAATTAATGTGATATTTCGATAATAATTATAAATATACATTAATATAATCCATCCCATTCGTTCTATTTCATGTCTATGTCCTCCATTGAGAAATCATAAATGTTAATCTTAAGAATATGTAGATTTAATTTTAGTATCTTGATGCATTTACTGTATAGTCTTGATTTAATTAAAAAATAACAAATGATTATAAATGACTAAACAAAGCTTCAACATCTTATATAATTTCACCTGCCTTCGACAACGGGAATTCTTTAGGACTGAAAATCAAGTTAAAATATAAAAAATAAGATATATTAATGTATCTTGAAATAATTATAATAATTATTTTAAATTAAATTTAAATTAATAATTATATCTAAATTTAGATATAAATTTATTTCACCTTTGAAAAGAAATTAAAATTATAATTAGAAAAAAAAACATTTAAATCATTCATTTATTTAGAAAAGTCAAAAAGGATTGGTATGATTGACAATACTACATATCTGAGTATAAATTATTGTTTCTATATAATCACTTACTCAAATCTAATATTATTCATAGTGTAATTACAATTATAAATATTAAAGTTATACTTTTTGAAACATACATCTGAAAAAAATAACAGATTATATCAACATAACAATTATTAATTATATATTATTGTTAAACTTACAATTTAATAAAAATAATATAAAAATGAATGCATATTAAACATATATATATATATATATATATATATATATATATATATATACACTTGCTTTGCACTAAAGACATTTTCAAAAACCTAAACCACTGAAATCTCATTGCATTTAGAAATACTGTTAAATGGGGCACACAACGCAGAAATATTTTCTGCAATGCAAAGATCAAAACAATCTCCAAATCTTTTATCTCACAAATCCATACCTGCATAATGTATTAAATACATTATACTGAATTTCTAAAAATGCCTATTGTGATGTCATTACATTTATTAAACTTGATGCATAAACGATTCTTTCGATAGTTTTTAAAAATGAAAATTATTATATCCATTTATACTAATGCATTCTCTCAGCATCATAACATTTATTGCTAAAAAAATTACACTTATTCACAAAAGTTTAGTATTTTCTTTTTATAAAAACCAGTTAACATAATTTCACACTTTTATTTAAGCTTATCTATTAGTAAATATAATGTTCAGTGTAAAACAAATCAATAAATTATTACTTAAATCTAAAATAAAGTATGTTTTAAAAGATTATATGTATATATATATATATATATATATATATATATATATGTATAGATTATGCTTATAAGCACATATCATAATGTATGAATGTATTACTTGATTTTATTAAAATACAAGTTATGAAATATCACGCAAAAAATTATACAAAGAAATATGTATGTTTATATAGCTACTTTTAAAGTACATGTTATAAAATTGTCTCAGATGCTTGTATACACATATCATAAATATATATATATATATATATATATATATGAATATATGCATATTTATATATCAATAAATAAAAACCAGTAAAGATTATTATGTGATCCTTCTTAGAAGAATTCATTAAAATGAAATTTTGATGTACTCCATATTTTCATTTGAATAATACTCTTTGACCATACTCAAGAATAGAAAGCAAACATTTCAATGCGAAACAACAGGTTAGGTCAGTAATTAACATATTAGCTTACATTATAACAAGGCAAATTTATTAATGTGATGTAAACCAATTTTAGAATTTCATTCACATATAGGTGGGTAAAATATAAAATTTAATTATTTTGCATTATAAAATTGGCACTTCACTTTTTCTAATTTAGGCACAATATAAAAAACAATCTACATAATATGCATTACATGAATATAACAAACAAAGGATGTAGCTACTATTCTGTGAAGATAATTTTACTATGAATAAATGTACTTAAATGTGGTCCATTTACAGAAATAATCCCTTTCATGCAATTTTCAAGTATAAAATTACACAGCCAAATTTGTCATTTGAATTTTTTTCATACATCAAGGACTGTTAGGCTTTATGCCGTATGTCAATCATTTGAATTTGTTTAGTATAAAATGTTACTTTATTTAAATTTAATCAACCATTTAAATTTTAAACAATATTCATTTTGCCTATAAAATCTTTTGAAAAACTAAATATACACATTGTTAGCTATATTCATCTTATTCACTGATGATATTATTATTATTTTAACTTATTGTGCTTCTGGAAAAGTTCTATATGTTTAGCTATATTTTTACAATATTATTTTATGAATATTTATTTAAAAAATTTGCTAGTATGAAATATGAAAAACAATTTTTGTTATATGTGCATTAAACAATTCTATTAATAGTATGCTATGTTTTGCAATATTTAATAGGAATTGCGTAAAACTATTATCATATTAATTCATAAGTGATTATTTTCAATATCAGTCATACAGATATAAATGTTACAAATGTTATATCTAATATCACGTATAAAGAGACACCTCGTCTTCATAACAGAAAAGAAACATAATATTCAATATTTTTATAGAAACTTTTTTAATCTTAATATATCTAGTTTTACATGTAAAAACTAAAAATGTTATGGTATGATTTTTATGAGAAGTATCATAACTATGTTCAATATTATAGGAATATGCGTCACAAACATCAAGTATAAGTAACCGAATAATGATAAATTGATCATATTGTAACTAAAACATTTTGCATACGAAGTTTAAAATTTGATTAAACAATTGATTTAATATATATATATATATATATATATATATATATATATATATATATATATATAAGATAGTCTAATAATTGGACATAACATCAACAAAAAACATGAATTTCTTTAAAAATGTAATTAAAAATCCATACGTCTAAGCTACAACCCTACCCTTCATTCAACGGAAATTAAAATGTATAACAACTGAGTTTAAAAATTATAAAAAAGTAAAATGTACTTACAATTTGCTTATTCTAGTATTAAAAATTGATTATTGTCTTTTCTGTTTTTAACACTGAAATAAGCAAATTGTAAGACTTACAATTTACTTATCCCTCGTAGATTACAATTTGCTTATCTCAGTATTAAAAACAGAAAAAACAATAACATATTACCTTTTGTAATTTCCCAAACTCAATTGTTGTTAGTTTATTAATGTTATGACCCATCGAATTGAGAATATATATATATATGCTGATAGTTTTGTCGATGTTGATACATATCTGAAGTCTTTTGCAGCCTAATTGCCGAATTAATTTTAAATCGACGATTGGGCTGCAAAATACTTCAAGTATATATATATATATATATATATATATATATATATATATGTATAAATATATATATATATATATATATATGTATGTATGTGTGTGGGTGTGTGTGTGTGAATCATCAAGAAATATGAATTATTAAGAAATATAATTTAAATTAGTAAACATTATTTGAGAAATTAATATAATCAAATTTGACAAAATTAATTAGTTTCAAAAGTCCTCTCTTGATGTCTGATACAGGAATGAAAAGTCATAACAAAGCAACTACAGTACACATAATGCCTTTACGATATTATATTTCGGAATTTATCAAATATTACTATAATAGATTTATACTAACTTGTAATTTATTATCTAACTTGTAATAACATTCTTATAGAACATATGTAAATATAAAATTTCATAGTGTTCAAAATCACTATTCATAAAAATTCATATACAGTTTTAATTTTAAACTAGTGACAAGTTAATAAATATTATATTGTCAACTAAAAATTAAGTATAATAAAAATTTACATTTTTACACATAAACCAATGGTATAAAAATAAGAGTATGTCATTATTTACTTTAATGCAAATCTATTCTATATGTTGCATACTTTCCTATTTATAACATCACACAATTTCTTGTTTTAATAAATATTTAACATATAATTTGTTCATGTGTAACTTTACTAATAATGCATAATATATATATATATATATATATATATATATATATATATATATATATATATATGAATACACTCATATATATTCCCTACATACAAACACACACGCACATTTATATTTATATATATATATATATATATATATATATATATATATAAACATGTACAATTTTGAGTCTATATAACTAAACTGAGTAATAATTGTATAATCATTAGCTTAAATTATATAACATGTAAGTATACATGTTACAAAAATACTACATAGGTGCAAATTTTTGTGCTCTAAATGTTAGAACAACCAAATTTTTTTGACTTGAACACAGTCACGGTTATAATTTTATATCACGCAATTTGTTTTATAATATTTACATTTAAATTTTCGATTATAAGATAGCTGTTTGCATCATATGCAAGTAATAATAATAATTAATATTAAATTGGTATATTAAAATTATTTATGAAAATGGTGCTATGAATGTTTATGTATGACTATTTAACAGTTCTTTTCATATTTATTGATTATAAAAATCATAAAAGTATATATTATTATATATAAAACTATATAACAATAAGTTAAAATTCTAAAAATGCTTCTTTTGTCACTTTGGGCAGCGTATGTAACGAAGCACTAAATATCCTAACAGTCTGAATACAGTAAAGAAAATTAGAAGAACTAAAGTGTTCAACCACAAGGGCTCTGAACTGCCCTGCGCCTGAAGAATATCTTGAACAGGTATTATCTTAGAGTGAGCACAAACTGCAAACTTACTTTGTTTGGCGCATCTGTTATGAAAAACAATAACTAAATTTAAAGCAAAACATTCATGCGTTTCATTAGGATTGTAAAATACTATAACACATCTAAATTTTACACTATGAGCAAAAATTTTAAATTATATAGTTATAATTCAAATATTATATAGAAACGTTATATTTGCAATTCTATAATTTTAAACAGAAAAATGTAATATAAAAACATTTGATCAAAAATGTTTTAATTGTTGCTTTTTTAACATATCATAAAAGCTGAAGTGAATTAAAAAATGTACTCACGCAATGGCAGGTCCTTCTGTAAATTCTAAAATCTGCATATTTTGATATGCATAATGAATCATACTTGTATATCGAACCCATTGCAACCATGCTGGAAATCTAGTTGACAGATATCCTGCAAAGTAATTTTAAAAACATATTAAATTCAAACCCTAACACGTTTTTCGCAATTCTGAAAAATAGTTGAGCAATAAGAAACCAAACAAAATAAGTTAAATCAATTGGCAATATTAAATAATATAGCTTGAGATAAAATGAGATCAAAAGTGCAAAAAAGAAAGAATGTTTCTTTATGTCATGATGAATGTTATAATTACATTTAATAGTATTTATATGAGTATTATATATATATATATATATATATATATATATATATATATATATATATACAAGGTGTCAAGCCAAAACAGAATTTGAAAAATTTGTGCATTTAGATAAAACTTAAGGTTTTGGTTGAACTATAACCACTTTTCAGTTATTGTGGTTAATCTTTTTTTATTGTTAACAAATAAACACAATGTAAGGAAAAGTTTTAGCCCAACAGCTTAGAAGGACATAACGTTCTGTCAGCTGTTAAAATATTAGAATAAGAATAATAAAACAAAAAATTAAACTACTATCGCAACTACTATTAACCATAACTAATAACTAAATTCCTTGATAGTGCTCTAATTCTCCAATACTGTTTTAATATCACTTTACCATATCTTGTCTTATATTGTTACGTATTTATTGCTTTTTATTAAATTATGTTTCATATGATTCTTTGTTTATGATAAACTTCCATATCACATTTATAAAGTTTATATGATATTCAAAATATATTTTCAGATAGCATAGATGACAAACAAACCAGGAATAACAAATACATAAAACTTATAAACATTTTAAAAGAAAACATTACAAACCCCCAAACAGTTGCGTCGCCAACGTGTACAGCGCGCTAATTGTGACTGACAGGTTCATATCCATACAGCAAGCTCCAACAAAAAAGCCAACGCTTTGGGCAACAATGGTATTCAGTAATAAAAAGCCTAACATTGTCAAAAAAAGCGTCGGGTTACTGAATCCCAACATTGGATAGGATATCAAATGATAAACTGCTGGCAAAGTCACTACGAGTGGCAATTCACCGACCATTTTTGCCATGTAGTAAGCAGAAAGCCTATAAGCTCCAGATCGTCTCTCTTTGTTGATAACCTCACGCTCTGGAGGGACTAAAAAACAATTTCATAAAAATTTGTTAAATATATGGATACAATACAATTATATTATATGTTCATATTTACTTTGTGTTTATATTTTTAACAAACAATTTAACAGACAAGGCAAAATATTGTAAACTATTTGTAAAGATAAATTTCACAAAATTTTATACAAAATAATATTCACTCCGTCTTACATGAACTGAGCGCACCAAACAGTGCAAATAGCATCCAATAAGTTTGGGAGAAAAACATCCATCCCTGTATATCGTGCAATGATTCTTCAGTTTTCGGTAATTGAAACCAAAGCGCGCCTGCCATTATACCTAATCCAATTGTTTGCACCCAGTTTAATCGAGATAACATCCTTGGCCTAGCTTCCTTAAAATTGCGCTGTGATAAAACCTGATAAAAACAAAAACTTAAATATATTCTATTTTTATAACATATATAATCAATTAAGACAGACAATTTGGTGTGTTTGTTATGTTTAATTTCCATTCAACATTATTATATGATCCCAACTAGGGTTTGTCGGTTTTTAAAAACCGGTTTTTTGACGAAAATTATGTAATTCGAAAACCGGTTTTTTAGTAGAAAAAGTCGGTTTTCACTGTATAAATGGAAAATGACAAAAATGCCCAAATATAAAAGAAAGATGCAGGCGTTTTGATTCTTGAAATTATATCAGTTCGATAAAATTTGAAATCATATCAGTCTGCTATGGCTTCCAGAAAGGTTTTGTGTTATCTTTTGTCTAATTAAGATATTAATTTAGATTTTAATACCAGTGTATATATTAATTGAAATCAGTGTGTCTTCTTCTTGAAAAAGTAACTTCCTCTACTCAAACTTCAAAAAAAAAAGTTTTTAGTCCTAGAAGCCACAAATAAAAAAATAAAAAATTAAGAATTATTATATCAGGCTCTAAAAGCAATTAAGCCTAGTTCAGTCGCAAGTAAAAGTATTTTCTATTTCGGGAAATTTTGTGAGTAAACAAAGGACACGTCTAAGTAACAAATTGATAGACGTTCTTTCTCAGTATTTTAAAATAATATTTTATTAAACAAGAAAATAATTAGAATGTTTAAATGTAATTAATTAAAATTACTCGGCTTAAAATAGAAAATACTCTAGTATAGTTTAATTGTTTTTAAAACTAAAATTGATATTAACAAGTATGTATCAACATGTATCTATTTTTTTTAAATTTAATAAATGTTTTTTATTTAAAAATGTATTATTTTTATTTATTCGAAAAATTTCCTTTCACTATCATAAAAATATTTTCATTTTTATATGTGAAAATAATGCATGAATAACGAATAATTATTCAAAGTTATTTAATCCAGATAAACTATTATTTTTTTGTTTTACTAATTAAAATTAAAATAATTTTGTTTACTATCTACTATTTATACTAATAAATAAATTTAGTCAAATACTGCTTTAAATCGCACTAAATTTGCGGATAAATATCTGTTATTACAGATTATTCGAGAAAAAATTTATTTTCTATATAAAATTCGAAAACCGGCTAAAACCGGTTTCTGGTAAAATTAAAATTCGAAAACCGGTTTTCTGAAATGCCGGTCTTTGTATAAACCCTAATCTCACTCAACTTGGTTAAAAAGCATGCAACTTTAAATATCGAAATCCATAAGTATTTTATACACTTTGAGGCAAAATCATTTTCTGAAAAAATATATCATCTCAATTTGCGATTTTAATAAAATTATATAGTATTGCTACATTTTGCCAAAGGTAATTATGGTCAGTTACCTAATAGAAATGAACAATTTTGTGAGAATATTTAAAATAAGAATTTCATTTAATTCTTACTTTGAACTGCGTGCAAAAAGATGTGGGGTAGCCCAGCCAACAATCACCCTCTTGTGTATCGGAGCTTGAGGACGACGCATGCGATTGGGTATCCATCCATAGGCGTGCTTCGGCCTCCGCTTGGCTTTCGTCTACTACGACTTCAAGAAATAATAAAAAAAAATCAGTTAAAAACACTTGAAACAAATTCATTTACTATTACTCAAGCTTATCAATTCAATTCTCAAATTTTTACATTTGTATTATGGCATTTTATCATTTTTATCATAACTTATTACTTTATTTAAAAATATCTTGATTTTTAACACTATTTTATTGTCTTTTCCAAAAATTCCGGTTTACCGGCTCATAATTTTCAAAATGCACGATTTTTTTTTCTATTTAATTTCATGTCAGCTTCTATCGGTCTACAATACTATCGTTCAGAAACACTCTGTACAGTATATATACTGAAGTGAAGGAGTTAAGAAAATCTTCAAAATATGAAAAATACATAAACTCAAAATCATAGAATATTATAGTTTTTTGTTTCTTTCTATTTTTGTAATATAATTTTGCTGATTTTGATGAGTTTATTTAATTTTTATAATTTGAATATTTTCTTAGCACTTTCACTCCACTGCCATTAGCTCTACCTCCATTAGCAAGCACATGGTGGTCTTGATGCAGAGTAAAGTTTTGCAAGTGTTGGTACTTTTCGCAAACTATAGCGGGTGCAGTAAAATAATCCGGCTGGAGTTCTATTGGATAATTCGGGTCCAAACGCGCCGCTCGCGACGCTGATAATATTCTGTCTCGTACATCGGGCGTGCTCTTTATGTGCTCCACTATAACAAAGTATATATTACTAGTAACATTTATACTTATGCAATTATTTATATGACACATCATGTAATGCTTAAAAACTTTAAGCAGAAAAAATATGCAGTGATAAATACCAATATATATATATATTACTCATCACATCATCACCTCATCACCTCATAGCATAGCTTCAATATTCATATACAACAATTTACACTATGAGTATGCGAAGAAAACAAAAGTTACATAATTACGAACATTTATACATTTATACGAATTGTACAATATAATAATTTATTATATAAAACTAGTTTCGAACAGATAGTACCCGCCGTCTTTTCTGGAATTATGGGGGGCGATACATGTAACAAGAAAAAAAAAATCGATTTTTTTTTTTCATAAATCGTTACAATAACATCTCAAAAATATGCCTGTAAATATTCAAAACAAAATTATCATTATTTATACAATAAAAACTCATTTAAGTGCCACGCCTCAACTCGACGCTTGAGTGCTATTGTACTCTTATCTGTTTCTGTGTCAAAACTTTAAACGCGTTTTTCTCAAAACGACATTTTTGAAATTTGCGGGCGGGATAACTCAAAAAGTTCTCAACCGATTCCAATGAAATTTTGCACACATCTACTTTACAGTAATAGCTTCTAGTTAAACCTCAAACATTCCAAAAAAATTTTCAAAAATTAACCCTTTTACCAAAAAAAAACATTGAAAAAAAGGTGAAAAATCGAACTTTTTTTTCTGAGTTGTGCCAATTTACGATTTTGTGACTTTTTTAATTTTTTTTTGGTTTAACTAGAAGATATATGTTTTATGAACACGTACAAACTAATTTTTTTAAATTCAGATCACCGTACGAAAAGTGAGAACGCCCGCAAATTGATGGCGTTTTCCGAGAGGGTCTTGGCAGATTTATTTTTACGGCAGCCATTTAAAAAAAAAAAATTAAAAAAAATTTTTTTTTGTGTATTCTAATATATAATAAATAACCCTAAAAAAGTTCAAAAAGATTCAATCATTCCTTCCCAGTTTAAAAAGTCCTCAAAAAATGGTAAAAATTAAGGCGATTACATGTATCGCCCCCCTTATCTAATACACATTATATGCTTAAAATCCTCGCACGGAGTTATTTGAGATTTTGTATTATTTCTCAAAAATATGTTCTACATGATTTTCTAGCAGTGGCCCATCCAGTAGTATCATATATATGCTCTGCATCTTCACATAATTTTCTCTCCTTTGCATTTCTACATATAGATTGTTTACTAATATCGTGATTAATTTAATTCGCCTACCGGCGTAGAAACCTCAGCATACGACACTCACATATAAAATCGGCCGGGTTGTAATGCGCTATCATATTAAGACCACAGGATGCAAAGAAGTCGACTACATCGCGAACGTCCCCAAAAATATGCTGTCTGGCCCTGACAAAGTAGAAGTAATCGAACATATGGAACATTTGTGATGAAGGCTGGTGTACGGTGACTACTACCGTTTTGTGCTCTTGCGCGGCGTAACGTTGCAGGGAAGATATCAGGGCCGCGGCAGAATGCGAGTCCAGGCCGGATGTGGGTTCCTAAAGATACAAATAACATAATAATATCTAATACTTATAAATTAAAAAATAAAAGATTCAACAAGAAAGAAAATAATTTGTAATAGTAATAATTTTTACATAAAACATCCATTTACATCGAAAAGAATCTTTAAACAAAACATTCTGTATGTTTATAAAATCGAATTCAGTAATAATTATATATGATAAAATGATTTTAAGTGACTCAAAGGTTACTTAAATATTCTATTTCCTTCTACTTACATCAAGGAGTAATACGGAAGGATTTGTTAAAAGTTCACAGGCAATATTTGCACGTTTCTTTTCACCACCCGATAGACCACGATTTAAATAGTCCCCAATCTTCGTATGTTGACAACCTGTCAATTCAAGTACTTCTAGAATGTGATCGACGCAGCGGAGTTTTTCGGATCTCGGTAATTTTTCAGGTAATCTAGATAGATAAAAATAAAAATCTGATTATAAATATAGAAAAGTTACGTACATTAGCTATAAATTACAAAAACCAATTTCTGATAATAATTTTTGTACAATAGTTTGTTCTAGCCATACTAAAATAATGCCATTAAACGTAGAACTACTTTGTGATAAGATTAAAATAATGAAGTAATAATTATGTGTGAAATAAATTTATTAGAAACCTCAAAAATAAAAAATGTTGATCATTATAGAATATAAATGCAAATAATAATTTAATTGTTAACCCTTTAGCTACAAACATCGTCTATATACGACATCGAGTGTGTTTTATTTTGATTCAATATTTATCACTCTGGGTCAAATTATTGAAAACTATAATTTATTATTGTTCATTTTTGTCATTTAAAATTGTCATTTTTAAATTTTATACATTTTTATTGATAAAAATCACTAGGGCTTGGTGGCTCACTCCAGCGGAAAACACAATCGCTGCGAAAAGGTTTATTTCCAGATACCTACTTATAAATTAATGTGATATATGTGTTATTGATGGCAGTTTATTAGTTGTCTCACGATTGTATAAGATAGTGCAGCAATGAGCATTAATATAAATATGAAATATTTTAAATGTCATCATTTTTACCTAAGCATGGCAGTGTATTCAAGCGTTTCCCGTAGCGTGAGGCCGGCAAAAAAAATATCTTGCTGAAGAACGTAGCATATGCGCCGCCGCCACTTCTTAGACAAGCGTTCGCGATTCAGACGAACGCTGCCCGAGTCGAGGCGGCGCTGACCGCTCAAGCAGTCCAACAGTGTAGTTTTGCCGCAGCCGGACGGACCCATCACAGCAAGCACTTGCCCCGGCCTAAAACCATATAATAAATAATAATATAATAACATAAAGTATTAATGTATAGTATATTAATATTCAATTCAAATAAGATAGGGTAGAGCGGGACACAAAGGTCCATTTCGACTTTGAGCAATTATATTGTGAAAACCAAACCAACTATATCACAACAAATAACACATATCAAACAAAGAACTATCTGACTATGTTTAGTAAAACTTACAGCTAATTCATCATTGTAACTAGTTGGTATTGGTATTTTGCCTTGAGGCAAGTTACATGAACTTCCCGATGTGTAAATAATCGACTTAATCAATAAAAATTAAATTAATTTAAGAGTGATTAAAAGAATTACGGGTGGATTTATTACACATAATTGAAAACAAACGATCACGTTAACTCGGAGTATTTTCTAAAAGCGAATTTTCAAAAATCAATAATTTTTATAATAGAACCAGTTTCCGTAGAACTTTAATGGTTTAATATGTTCATTAAGACCAAGTACTCTATCCAGTGGTGTTGTTCTAATATTTTTTTGCACTTTTTCACTGACTCTATCGTTATACCAAATAAATCGTTTAATTTTAATTATAACAAACGTCAAAAAAAACTACTCATTTTCTCAAACTTTGATTAATTTTCAAAATTAAACTACTTGTCGTAAAGCCGTAATATTTTAGTAAGTTCTATAGGACCATGATATATATCGCCAAAAAAGTTCCATAAAAATCGCCTTATTTTTTTTCCAACAGTTAATTACAAGAAAACGGCTCGGTAGATTTTCACCTAAAACTAATCAGTGAGTTAAAATGATTATGTATGTATTATGAGTATGAGCTTAAATGTGGACGACAAGTTTAACACTTTTTTCCAAATTACAAAGAATCGGCTCGGCAGATCGTCGCGCAAAACTGACAAACGATAGTCCTCATTTAGATATATCAAATGGTTTTCAAATTTCTGAAATCGGTTCAGGCGTTTTTGAGAAAACATCGATTTACGGCAAAAAATCTATTCACATACACACACACATTTTTTCCAAACCCGGTCATTTTTACCCCATAGGCGGAGTAAACTGGGACAGCCAGGTCTCATGTCATATTTTAATGTTTTAAGGATTTTACAAAGTAATAGCATCATTATGCAACCAATGCAAAAAATAAATTTCATGGGCGCATTTTTTACAAGGGTAACACTGTAAAGAACCTTGATCTGGTTTTTCGTCAGAAATATTCATCGGCAGAGTTGAAATAACTATTTATTTAATTTAACTGTTGTTAAATTGCTTTTTTAACTTAAATTACTTTTCTATTTACTATTTTTTAATTTTTACACCTCTGCCAGTAAAGGTTCGTTTGGTCCATTTTACGCTTTTGTAAAGGTTATATGAAAAAAATGGTCGAATCTAACTTAAAATTAACAATACATGTTATAAAACAATTAAATAAAGTATACTTAAAAATTATATTAAGGTCTCGTAAACTAAGCAACAGTGCTCATTAACTAACAACGAAAGAAAATACTTTTGTTATGGATTTTCAAATATTGCCGTTTTTCTCCCGACATCAACGTCGTAAGAATCAAGATTATGGCTGTTTATACATCTTCCTCCTTCTACTTTCAAATATTGTTAAGAAATTTTTAACTTTACTGGTTTTTGAGATATCGGTGGTGGAAGAAATCACGAAATATCACGTGGGCGAGGCGAGGGTCTAGTAAGATATCACGTGCAATTATTTTCTATCTCAATTAAAAAAAACTTTTTTTTAAATGAAAAAATGTTACAACTTCTTCAAAGTACTAAAAATACACGTGATGTTTGGTGAGGGAGGGAATAATTATAAATATCACCACATACCACCAATAGGGAGAGGGAGACCAAAAATCCTTAGGCGGCCCCTTATGAAATGGTTTGGACAAAAAGAAAAATTTAATAAAGGAAAACAAAATTAAGTACCTGTATTGAACCCTCAACGAAAGGTTTTAAATTATTCAATTATTTACAAAATGAAATGATGATTTCATAAAATAAAAGTTTCACTAAACGATACCATACTTTACAATAAACTGACATACTACATTATGCATTTTGCAAATATATTGCATGTACGTGAAGTAACTCCTTATCAAAATTTTGTGCTCTTTCACATACCGCCAATGCTCGAATATATTAGAAAACTAGCTGTAAGTGGAATTCTGTCTTAAGGCAATTAAGGCAATTAAGGCATCGTGCCTTAAGGCAAATTGCTGGAACCTCCCGCACCAAAAATTATTATTTTTTTAAAAACGATTAACATTTTTGAAAAAAATTTACTTCGAAAAAATTAGATTTTTTAGAAACTATAAATTTGACAAAAAATTCTTTTTTTTGAAAAAACAATTTTTTTTTGAAAACTAAATTTTTTTGAAAAGAAAAATGTTTTATTCATTTTGACATATTTTGGAAATTCTGAACTTTTTTTCAAAGCAATCGTACTGCTTGAACTGCACAGAGACATAAGCATTGGTACGGAACCCATAGAAATGTAAAAAAAATTATACTAATTGTTAAAATCTCTATAAAATATCTGATAATTTCATGATACAGTACCTTACGACTCCACTGACGTCTCGTAAGATTGGTCGCTTTTCTACGGATGCGCAGACATCGCTAAAGACAAGTTGTAGCGGCCGCGCTGAAGGCTCCACGAGACAGGGAAATGTCAAACCCGTATGTTCGGCCCTGTAAAAAAAACAGTTTTTAAAATATTATGGAAGACATAGTTTTTAAACCAAATTATATCGTAGCAAAGTAGGTTATAGAAATTAAACTTTCAACCCTTATAGTGCTAACCGTCAACTCTGAAGACTGGCAGTTAGCACTGTAAGGTTTAATAAACATCTATATGTATATTGGCAATTTATAAATATATGCCAAAAACTAAAAAACCCTGCAATATATAAATACAGCAATATCCCGCATATTGCATAACGCGGGGGATATGCTCCATCAAAGTAGAGCGCAATGCGAAACAGCGCTAAACGAGGCTATCTTTACATGGATATATTGGAGTTAGGGGAAGACGGCTAGAAAATTAGTTCGGTATTAAATTTAGAAAGTATGTTATTTTTACTAAAAATAAAACCAAACACTTATTTCTTAAAGCCCAAATTAATACCACATTATTATTTCATGTAAAAATAAAGACAAAATATACATAACAAAACGAATATTCTTGAAAAAACAAATAACATTCTAAGTCAGTCATATTTAGTCAGCCTTCCGCGTTTTCAGTGTTTAGCCGTTTTGTGACAAGATCATACTTTGTTGTTGCACTTTTTTGCGTTGTTCTCTTAAAAGTTCTTCATAAACGGATAGAGCACCTCTAACACCACGCCTTACTTTGAAGCTCCTGCCAAAATTCGAATCATTTTCAATGAATTGATCCATTATTTCAGTTACGATAAACAAACTCCTTTTTACAAACACCATCAAAAGTTCCTTTTGATTTTCCGCTAAAACATTGTTAGCAACATTTTTGTTTTTTTCTTGTTCAGTTTATTCCTTGAGCTCACCATTAGAAAGACTGCGCTGCTTCTTGAAATATCTCTTCGACATCTTCTTCATTTATCCATTAAAAACCTGGGTTGAAATAGAAGAGCGCTAAACGATACGGCGTTAAACGAGGTATTACTGTATATACCAAAATCTACGTCATATTCATAAAAAATATCTTACTATTAAATCCATTAGTTGTAAGTTATAGGGAGGAAAATTCTTGTACGTCTTTCAATAATTTTATAGCATGTGAAGGGATGTTGCTGAAAACTGCTTTTATGCACTTATACCATGTTTGTATTCATACTTCGGCCAACTATTAATTAACTAACATTACTAATTAACCACACATAATTGTAAAAAAAGCGAGAAAAACATAGTTTTCCGACAAGACAAAATGAAAATTTGCTGCCGCATGCATGAATAGTTTTTTAATTAATTGCGAAATACGTATAACATGTGTTTCATTAGCTATTTAACATAAAAATACTAGATATAATTAAATGTATCACGAATATAAATAAATATTAATTGATTAATATTTATAAAGTGCTTACTTTATGCATGTGGTTCGATGCATAGGCATGCGTGAAATGTAAAAAATTTCAATTAAGGCTTAATTACAATTACTATTAAATAATTGAGAGGTCGAATAACTTCAACTTGGTAAAAATTGCAATTCCTTTCAGAAGCTTTGTGCTCTTTAAATTCATCATTATAATACTTATATATTATCACTACTAGAACAAAATATTTGTGTCTGCATAACGAAATATAAAAAACTCATTGTAAAATAAAATATTTACCATATTATTGAAATATAAAAAAGAGTTTTTTTAGCCAAAAAATGAACTTATGAAAATAAAATCTTATCATAGACAGACGGTCCCGTACAAATCACCATGCGGTGCATGACAATGGTACGCGGCGCTGATGGAGATTACTATAGAGCAATAATATTCAAAGCCGAGATAACAATATACGACGTTGGCAATTATCAAATATCGTTCTTCAACATTAGATCATAAGTATAAACAGATAGTATTTCTCTTCCCGGGTCAATGGCCTGGCGGACAATGAACAATCATCAATTGGCCATGGAAACAGGGCAGCTATTATTGCACGAAAATTTGCCTGCTACGGGTTGGCGCGGCACTTTTTAATTACCTAAATCTTAACTTCGAAACACATATCATAAATTGCTGGAACTTCCCGTTACATAAGTAAATATTACATAAACAACATTAATTAACAGATTTGAATGAGAAAGATTTTTCTCTATAAAATATGAAATAATTTGATTTTTTTAACGATCAACGTTGCATCTGTTATAAACGACCAAACATAAATATGAAAAAGATAAACAACTTATATAATTCAATTAACAAGATATAATCTTGTAACATAATTTTATAACAAAATATTTTCATTAAATTGACACGAATGATGTTGCCCGATAGCATTAGACAAATAATAAATGCTTTTGATCAATAAAAGCCGAAAATATTAATAACGTAAATTAACAACCAGATTGCATAATGATTGTAAAGAACAAGTGCGCGAGAACTGTGGCGTTTGCACGTCAGTTTCAGTTTGATTTTAATGCATCCGCAAATTACATGCCAATAATAACATTACTAACTCTATATATGTTAATGATCGTTAGGCATTATCTATTTCGGATGAGCTGCTTATACGTATGTGCACTATGTATATATAAGGAAAACAACACAGGCCCACTCCTTCATTGCACCGCTACTGAAAGATTATTCCACACAGAAATATCAATGTTACTTAAACTACCAAATTATCATGGAAATAGTATTCGATATAAATGCTACACGCCAATTTATAGAGAAATTTATATCTTCATGGAGGACCACCTGGAGCACCACTAATAGCGGCAAAGGGTACGGAGGCGGGGGGGTTGTTGATTTGCTTATTTTCGGTTGACATGAGGGGCAGGAGAGTCTGGATGATGATTACGTCATAGTAGTATTTTTATTTTTTTACCGAATGACAACTTTACATTTTCTTTGCCAGTACCAAAAATTTAAAATAAGTTTGTTATGTTCGTAAGATTATAATAATTTTGTTACTCTATGTTGAATACCATATCAGTAAAATTTTCTACATCCTAAATCTATGTTCTTATTTTTAAAATTATAATTATAACCTAATAATTACAATATTTAAAAAAACCAATACATTAATTGCAAAATGTTTATGTAAGCATGGGGATAGGGGGTAAGAGCTTTGCTTACTTTTGCTGGCAAGGGGAATGGGGGGGGGGTAAATAATTGTAATAAATCTGCTTACGTAATACTTGAACGATCCCAAAGGCTTGGGTTCAAAACACCTTCGGCATCCATCTACAATAATGTTCACCGTTTCATAAAGACACTTTCAACGAAAAATGTAGAATTGTTTCTAATTGAGAATAAATAACCCATTAATATTCGGCGTCATGGGATATCTGTCATGATAAAAATGCCGCTGATTGGTTATGCTTATTGGTTAATGGTTATTCTAAGAACAGATCACCTTTATTTACAGTTTTTAAATGAAAATATTTTATCTAGTGACTTCCAACATTTGCTTAGTTGAGATCAGGGACTTGCCTTCGGTTAGACAACCCTTATTATTAAACATTTATGAATTATATACTTAACTGAACCCTATACTCAATAATATTGTGGTTTGCTAATAAAAATTAAAAAGCACGCAGAAAAAAATATTATTTATATTTAAATAAATATATTTTATATGTAAAAAATGAATTAGAGTAAATCTATATATCATTATCGGTTCGTTTAGCTAATGTTTCGTGCATATAAACTAAAAAAATATAATTGTTTCATTCATTTTTAGTAATATAAATGAAACAACTATATATTTTTTAATATCCTTTCAAAACAACTTTTAGAATAACCTTGTTCAGTAAATTATATCATCTATAAAACATATAATTCACATAAATTATAAATGAATGTTTTCGTAAGTTGAAAAGTTATAAACTATAATATTGAAACTTATTAGTATTAATTATCCTTAAAAAATACAAAGATAATAAATTTGGTAAATTTATAATAATTCTCAATTAAAAGTTAATAATACAGATTATTTACATATAAAGTTTATATTATAACCATGTGTTCAATACTTCAGCACAAGAAAAACAAATCACTTAACACGTAACTCAATTCATACATTAGAATATCGAAATTAGCAACGCGATGTACAAATAATTCAGTTTTAGTTATTAAAAGAACATAATATTCGGTATTAATGAAAGTACTTACATAGATTTAATTAATTCACCCATTTTGAATCAATTCCATAATAAATGTTCACAACACAAGGCACATACTGTAATGATACAGAACACTTTTGCGCACTCAAGTCAGAGTATCAACGCCGACAAGTCTATTAGAAAGCACTTTACACGATGTATGCGCGATCTATTTAAGCTGCATAGAGATTTTCCCGCACACCGGCCGTTTAAAGAAAGGAAAAAGGAAAAATGAAAACAGTAGAATAGATCCGAAAAATTAAAGTATGTAACGGGGAAGAGCAAAGTAATGATTAGAAATTGACTGCTATCCGAATTAAGGTGACGGCGTTGAGAACGTAGCGCCGTCTACAAAAGTTCACACTTGAGTGATTCCTAAATTAAAAAGAGCTGTCACTTATATAATGAAGCATATCAAACTGAAGTGCTGATATATGTTCCTCCTTCACACAGTTGAAATAACAAATACATGCGAAGACAAATTAAGATTTGGTCCCGTCACTATGGTCACCTCCTTGCGATTCGCTTTTCTTTGAATTTCGCGATTACTGAACCCGACGCGATCGCACGCTGCTTGTTATATACGCGTGCACGTGTGTACACGCGGCCGCGGTCCCCCTTTCGATTTGTCGCCTGACCGCCTCTTGACTGCGGCCGCGGCGAGTCATCTCGCCCAGAAGTCACAAAAGCGAGCCCGAGAAACAATTATTGTAATATTACACCACAACTGATTTATATATGCAACATAAATATTTTTATATTTCTCATACGCAATCGACAGAACGGCAGAAATTATAAGTGTATTATCGTCGATGAACGCGCCGCTTCATGCGAAGGTGCGACGATTCATTGAACGGAAAGAAAACGTTTTTCTATTTTATTAGCTAGAAGA